AAATTCTCTTATGAAGAAAATATTCATAAAATAGTACGTTAAAAGCGACGAAATAGTTAGCAAAATATACATACAATTATATTTTCTATATGGTAGGCATATATATGTAATATTACAATGACGTTTGATTTTTCATTCTTTAAATGCTATAAAAACTTAGCATTGATGTTGATTATACATAAAAATTTTAATGTGATCAACATATGAAAAAACTATTTAAAATTAATAACAGGATCTAAATTAAAATAATAAAGGTAAGTGCATTTATAAAGAAGTGAAAAAAAAAGTTTGAAATAAATTTGAAAAACGTACGTTTACACACCAATAGAAAAATGTGATAGGAATAAAAGTAAGGTAAATAACATAATACTTAGACCAATAAGCGATTACAATATAGATGCACTAACCACACTGACTGTTGTAGCTAATACACCGTTGTACACAGCAGGGGCCATCAGGGATGTAATGCTTTTTAATGAAGATTGCTCACATTGTATGATTATTGTAGTGAATTTGTACAATAGACTATTAAAAGTTCTGAAAAGCTATCTGACATATAGGGTGATTCTGGGAACTGAGTCAGGCTTTGTTCCGAGTGTTATTAGAAAAAACTCGCGGAGAAAAATCCTACATTGTTTAACAAGTTCTAGCATTGATGCATTTATAAAGTGCAACTGCACTTTCTTTTTTAAATGGAACTGAATACTTTTTTACGTAGATCGACCGTTCTCAGCGTACCGTGTATAAAAGTATTAAGGTATGATGATAGAAAGAAAATCAATACTTCGTAAGATATTTCAAATTTTTGATGACACCTCAAAAATACGTCTTATTAAAAATTTGAAATATTCCACAATGTATTAATTTTTCTAACACCATACCCTATCATCTTTATATGCGGAATGTCTCGAAAAGTTGAACTGCGTCAAAAAAGTATGTAATTCTATTAAACAAAAAAGTGCACCGATGCACTTGTGAAAAAGTTGTATCATTCAATAGCTTATTAAATGATACAAAATTTGTCTCTATCATCTTTTTCTAGTTTCACTTGGAAGAGAATTATAGCCTGACTCAGTTGCTAGAAATGTCATGAATTCCACTTTATTTTGGGTCCCTAAATTCTCTTATGAAGAAAATATTCATAAAATAGTACGTTAAAAGCGACGAAATAGTTAGCAAAATATACATACAATTATATTTTCTATATGGTAGGCATATATATGTAATATTACAATGACGTTTGATTTTTCATTCTTTAAATGCTATAAAAACTTAGCATTGATGTTGATTATACATAAAAATTTTAATGTGATCAACATATGAAAAAACTATTTAAAATTAATAACAGGATCTAAATTAAAATAATAAAGGTAAGTGCATTTATAAAGAAGTGAAAAAAAAAGTTTGAAATAAATTTGAAAAACGTACGTTTACACACCAATAGAAAAATGTGATAGGAATAAAAGTAAGGTAAATAACATAATACTTAGACCAATAAGCGATTACAATATAGATGCACTAACCACACTGACTGTTGTAGCTAATACACCGTTGTACACAGCAGGGGCCATCAGGGATGTAATGCTTTTTAATGAAGATTGCTCACATTGTATGATTATTGTAGTGAATTTGTACAATAGACTATTAAAAGTTCTGAAAAGCTATCTGACATATAGGGTGATTCTGGGAACTGAGTCAGGCTTTGTTCCGAGTGTTATTAGAAAAAACTCGCGGAGAAAAATCCTACATTGTTTAACAAGTTCTAGCATTGATGCATTTATAAAGTGCAACTGCACTTTCTTTTTTAAATGGAACTGAATACTTTTTTACGTAGATCGACCGTTCTCAGCGTACCGTGTATAAAAGTATTAAGGTATGATGATAGAAAGAAAATCAATACTTCGTAAGATATTTCAAATTTTTGATGACACCTCAAAAATACGTCTTATTAAAAATTTGAAATATTCCACAATGTATTAATTTTTCTAACACCATACCCTATCATCTTTATATGCGGAATGTCTCGAAAAGTTGAACTGCGTCAAAAAAGTATGTAATTCTATTAAACAAAAAAGTGCACCGATGCACTTGTGAAAAAGTTGTATCATTCAATAGCTTATTAAATGATACAAAATTTGTCTCTATCATCTTTTTCTAGTTTCACTTGGAAGAGAATTATAGCCTGACTCAGTTGCTAGAAATGTCATGAATTCCACTTTATTTTGGGTCCCACAAATATAGGCACTCCTTCTAGGAAACCTGGGGGCTCTGCATCTTCAAAAAGCAGAACTTTTCCTTCTTCAAGTTCAGCACCCTAGCAATAACATCTCATGTCATTGTCTCCATCACCATCCCAAAGTCAAAATACTGATATAAATTAGGACAACAGGTTGGATACTATTGTATTAATTGCACAATATTCTTCTTTGAAGCCCATACTGCTAATATTATCCGAATCTTCTTAGATTCATCTCAAGCTCATGATCTCTTAAGATTTGTGCAGTAATTGTATCTCCCCCAAGCTGTGAATACGATTAACCAACAAAGAATGCGGTGAAGAAATGTAATCGTTTCACTCGATGCACCATTGTGAGGGAGATGTATGGACAGAATATAACATTTGTAGAATGCTAAGTGAGGCATATGTATTTTGGAAGACTACAATATACTCAGATCAGAACACAGAGGTGTGACATGAAAGGAATGCCTTGTTAGTGCAAGGTGGAGATTAAAAAACATTCTTGATGGAGAAGCTGCACGAATTATATTTGAGACTAAGAGTTTAGTACCAAATAAGATACCTCATAATGTATAAATTTAGTGAGAAGTTTACATTAATAGACATAAACATCTACATATTGTAGGAACAATGGACGCATTCCAGAGGGATTGAGGGAATAATGGACGCATTCCAAAGGGAAATGAGTGCATAATTTCAATACTAGGATACCAAACAAACAATTATAGCAACCAAATTAATACAGGTATACAACAACTAGTCAACATCTTCTACATCTTGAAGACAATCTCCCAGGAAAGTTACGAGGATTTGGCTCGTGTTCTGTTGAAGGATAATAAGGCAACAATATAAGTAACAATAGTACTCTAATACTTCTGAAATGGAAATTATTATTTCAATGAAATTAACATAAAAATTGAAATAATTTTTTCTGTGAATAAAAATTTGTAATATGCGCCCAAGAATATTTTTTATCAAACCTTGTATGTTATAATTATAAATATATAAATATACAGTGTCTAATATTTAGACATGTAATATAAATACTGTTATGTCTTTAATGGCATCGACTAGAATTATTTCACAAATAATATTAAAAGTTACAAGAATTCTTGTTACTTATGAAAATTGACAAAAATAATGCAGATCTATGAAAACTTTATCAACTATGATGACGATTTAAATGTAGTTAATGGAATATCTAAATTTTATGTGTACAGAAAATTGCGAGTTAATTAATAAGTAATACCTCATGTACAATGAATATATTCTAACTTTATACGAAATTAAAGATGCGTACTTTAAATTGTATAGATTTTTTAAATGACATATAATATTGTTGACTAGTTGGATCCCTTTTTCTATTGCAAAAAGTATACACATTACCAGAATGTATACCAATTTTCATTTACTTGGCAGTGAACTCGGGCCAATAATTTACATAATAACGATATGTTAAACCTTCGAATAATCTTTCCAGCCACATAGGTAAACCATCCAAAAGATTATCCTGATATAAAACATTATTTCCGCCCTGAAATATGAATAATTTATATACCGTTAAGTCGTTAACTTTATTTAAAAATATTGACTACGTAAGTGTAAAGTATTGTAAATATTGTCTACCAAACACCAAAAACTGTACATTACTTACACTACCAGTTTAAAAAAAAAAAACTGCTTAAAGCAACCAAGTCAAGTTAACAAAAAAACTACATGGTGTTATTTTGAAGGTAAATAAAGAACTAAAAAGTATGTAACTCATGATCAACTATTAACAAAAAAGTATTTTAATAGTCAACAAAATAACAGATTGCATATCTGACAAACTAATAAATAAAATACCTATAATTTCATAATAATTTGATAATATAAATGCCTTAAATTTATAACAAAGTTGAGCTTTAGCATCATGAAAACCATTTTTCTACAAAATATTTAACATCCACCATTAAAACTATAACTAATATCTCACATTGATTTATAGAAACTACGTGCAGTTCCTTTATCACTTTGAAGAAAGAGAACCCCAATTTGTAAAGCATAGTAAAAACCTTCACTAAATCTTAAAATATTGCTCTATTATTTCAATTAACGAAAATATGAAATCTATTAAAAAATATGAAACAGTAAAATAATAAAAAATGCTAAAAATAAATATATCATACCTCCTCATCAGAAACATCAGATTCGTTAGAACTATCAAAACCAATAAATGCACCAGCTTCTGCATCATCTGTTCTTCGAGTTAACTGCTTTGTCATTCGTTCTATTCTCTGTATAAAAAAAGTGTTACAATTAGTTAGTTCCACATTTAGTAAATATATAATTCAATATATTTAATATGTACCTTAGAACCTTTGCCATTGGTACATTCTGGATGTTTGGCATGATACATACAAAAATATTTATGATGCCCATTCAGAGATAATACAGTGCCAACACAATTTTTGGCGTTTATATTTAGTTCTCTTTGTTCTGGCAACGTGAGGGATAACAGTTTTTTATACCAATCTAACCCTCTTTCAAGAGACAAATGTCCAAACATTAAGGTTTTATTTTTCCTATGATAAAATAAATTAAATTATAACTTAATTACTACTAAAACAACAATTTTTATATAATAAATACACACATACAACTTACCTATAAGGCCACACAGCTTTATGAAAAGCTCGTAATAATTTTAGTCTACTTTCAACACCAACTAATAATATAATGGTTCTACAGCCCGGTTTTAATAATCGAACTAAACCATTATATTTTTCTGCCCGCAATTCATGTAACCGTAATTGTGGCTGTGATGGCGTTGATTTACTGTTATCCTTACATTGAGCACGTTCATGAGCATTTGCTTGAATACTTGCTTCCTCTAATTTTCTACAATAGTAGATTATTTTAAAAGTCATCGTTATTATTAAATAAATTTCTAATGCTTAAATATTAATAATGAAATTTTCATAAAATATTTATTATTTCCTCTATTAAGGTGATGCTACTTACGCTAGATATGACATTCCATATCCTGCAGCACCAAGTAACATTATAGTAGCAATTACTGATACTAAAGGCAATATTTGCTCCTTAGTAAGACTATCCGAAATATAATCTACAGCTAGTAATGCTTTTCCAATAAGTTTGTCTACAGTACCCTGTACAGAATTAAAATATGAATTTAAAAAGAATACAATATTGAATTTATCGTAATTTCTAAAAAGTAAGAATATATGCCTGTGCATGTTCATCTGCTAATTCTCCTACAACTGCGGCATATGGCAAAGCTTCAGATGCACGCAATAATCTTTGTATGGTTTGTTCTAAGTTTCGACGTGTTTCATTCCATTGTGTTTCATCCTGAGCTGCTTCAATCCAAACAGTAGGTAACCATTCGTATTTCAAATGATTTGCATCCCTCCTCCAAATAATGACAATATGTAATAAAGGTTCTAAAGGACTGCCTTCACCTGTTGATAATGCTGATACAAATTCTGGTTGTGTATCCTTAAATACGTACGTATATCTGACCCTTTCAGTACTGTAAATTAAATATTGTATAAATAATTGCAAAATATTGAAAAATTTTAGGAAAAATTTTTTTAAGAAAAATTAAATTATTTTTAATATGATTAAACCATTAAATACCTAGAATAGTAAGAGTATATAAAAATTGAACATACTTGACATGTCTAAAATACTGTTACCTGTAAGATGACTCTAAAGCCGCTTGTCTAAATTTATGCCTAGCCAAATCATGAAGAGGACTGTTTTGTTGTGATATTAAAACTGCACATAATCGTTTTTGAGGTCTTAGCCACTCAGGCGGGCAAACGGAGTCTAACATTGCTTGATTTGAGAGTCTTGGTAAAGCAAGAAATTTATTATTTGAAATAACATTGTGCATTGTATCACTAGATATATCTTTCATGCTAACAGATGCCATAGGTTTCTCAGAATTTTCATTAAATAATAACAATGTGTCTAAATCCGCAGAAACTTTATACTTTGTTACAATAGGTTCCGTTTCTGATATTCCCGTCTGCAAAAGCCAAATTATAATTATAACAATTGAAAAATTTGGTAATCCAATAATATTACATTAAGGGTAAAAAAGGATACTTGCCTGAACAAAACCAAATGCAACACGATCTCTATAATGAAATGCAATAAATAGATATCGTAATCGTACAGATTGTTTCTTATCAAATATTAAAGCTCGAATTCGATTATCTATCCATCCTGAGAGGAAATTGTCTACATTACTTTTATTTATATTAGGTACTAATTTGTATGGAAATTTGCTTCGCAAGAAATCTGAAAAGCAAACCAAATTATTCAGTTTTGTTATGAAATAAGGACATTAATCATACTACAATATTAATTGTAAGAGTACACACCAACAATTTTTTGGACACTAAAAAGAGATTCCTTATACACACTAGTACGACCATCTATTGTAACAACAAGGCATGGTAATGTATGAATTCCCAGCTTTCTTGCCAAAGTAGATTCTTTTTCAGCATGTGCAGTAGCTAAACCAAGACCCAATGGTTCTAAATCCATCAAACGTCGCCATGTAGGTTGTACTTGTAAACATGCAATACACCAATCCGAATAAAATAATATCAAGTAAGGTGTTCGAAAAGTTTTTGGTACTATTATATTTTCAAATGATCTGTAAGAACCATATTTGTATTTAAAATGTCCAATTGTAATAGCTTGTACAAATACACATATGTACAAACATATAACTAGACTTTTTTTTAAACACAGTAATACAAACCGGTATGTGATGCTCATCATATAGAAAAGTGAAATATCTCGATTTTGGTCATGAAATTTAAAATTTCTGGCAAATAATTCTTCCAATGGATCAAAAACATTATTAAAGTGACTATTATCTCTTCGTTGTCTAGGAATACTTTCTTCTGTGATGCCATGATTATCAAACTTTCTTCTTCTTTCTGGATCAGTTAAAATCTAAAAACAAACAAATTTTAAGTTTAATAACATCATATTTTATATTATAATTTTTTATCAAAAT